CTCATGATCTGATGCGTATCACAATAGTTGCTCATGATCTGATGAGTATCACGATATTTGCTCACGATCTGATACGTACCACGATAATTGCATGTGCTCTTATCTGTGGTGTGTCAGCCATCTTTTTCATGGACAGGATGGCCAAATACCTGGCACTCAGTTTACAGTTGGCAGTGTCAACAATAGATGTAAATATTTACGTTTTCACTACTAAATAGTACTAATTTTCACAACTAATTCTTGTTTGGTGTAACAGCTACTTAGGTAAGCAAACACTGAGGATAAGCATTGATATATTTTACTTACCATGCGACTGTCGATTAATACTTGTATTCAGAAGTAAAAAAAAAATCACAATCCACCAATGCATCGTCCCACTACTAAAGTCAACACACGTGGACATCTATAGTAGGTATTAAGGAAGTCTTGTCATCTGACATGTCCGTCTCACCAGCTTGCCTTACGAAGTAGGTGACCACAACCATGAGTGAAAATATCAATCTTTACATGACTTGAAATGGGATAAATGTGTCATCTGACAAGATTAATCAAATATTCTATTCATTTTAAACTTCAAACTTCACAAATCTCTGAAGTACAAATCCTCCCAAGCCTTAGGCCTGTCACCTGGCGCTTATAGGCCTGAACATGATGTATGACGTAGTGTTGTGAACATAGCTTGATATCTAGGGACCTGCCACCAGTGTTTGAAATAAAACAAATGGCTATCAGGACCCACAGACTAATAGAAGCTGCAGGCCCTGACTGAACTCTTCAGGCCCTCATTTAAGAACCTACAGATTATTGTGATAAAATAAGTTGATATGTAGATTCACTGCAGACCAGAAGAACCAATACAAAACTTTGAAACTATGCTATATGAGATCCACCAGCCAAAGGCCTAAAGGCAGCCGCATGAAGATTTTGAAAATACCTGCCACACTTTCCGTTTTCACCCTTCATACACAGTCACCTACCTCCTCAACCAACTCATCCACCACTGCACTGCAACGACCACAGCCACACTTTCCGTTTCCACCCTTCATACACAGTCACCTACCTCCTCAACCAACTCATCCACCACTGCACTGCAACGACCACAGCCACACTTTCCGTTTCCACCCTTCATACACAGTCACCTACCTCCTCAACCAACTCATCCACCACTGCGCTGCAACGACCACAGCCACACTTTCCGTTTCCACCCTTCATACACAGTCACCTACCTCCTCAACCAACTCATCCACCACTGCACTGCAACGACCACAGCCACACTTTCCACTCCCACCCTCCATACACAGTCACCTACCTCCTCAACCAACTCATCCACCACTGCACTGCAACGACCACAGCCACACTTTCCGTTTCCACCCTTCATACACAGTCACCTACCTCCTCAACCAACTCATCCACCACTGCACTGCAACGACCACAGCCACACTTTCCACTCCCACCCTCCATACACAGTCACCTACCTCCTCAACCAACTCATCCACCACTGCACTGCAACGACCACAGCCACACTTTCCGTTTCCACCCTCCATACACAGTCACCTACCTCCTCAACCAACTCATCCACCACTGCACTGCAACGACCACAGCCACACTTTCCGTTTCCACCCTTCATACAGTCACCTACCTCCTCAACCAACTCATCCACCACTGCACTGCAACGACCACAGCCACACTTTCCACTCCCACCCTCCATACACAGTCACCTACCTCCTCAACCAACTCATCCACCACTGCACTGCAACGACCACAGCCACACTTTCCGTTTCCACCCTTCATACACAGTCGCCTACCTCCTCAACCAACTCATCCACCACTGCACTGCAACGACCACAGCCACACTTTCCACTCCCATCCCAAGGAACTGCTCATATAAGACGACCTATAACGCCCACCCTACACACACCACTGACGCTTAAGCCACCCTGCACACACACCCTCCCTCGTACACAGTCACCTACCTCCTCCACCAACTCATCCACTGCATTGCAACGACCACAGCAACACTTTCCACTCCCACCCCAAGCAACTCCTCATGATAGATGACCTACAACCTCCACCCTACACACACTGACGCTTACACCAGCCTACACACTGACGCTTACACCAGCCTACACACTGACGCTTAAGCCCACCCTACACACTGACGCTTAAGCCAGCCTACATACTGACGCTTAAGCCAGCCTACACACACACTGACGCTTAAGCCCACCCTACATACTGACGCTTAAGCCGGCCTACATACTGACGCTAAGCCAGCCTACACGCTGACGCTTAAGCCAGCCTACACACTGATGCTTAAGCCAGCCTACACACACACTGACGCTTAAGCCCACCCTACATACTGACGCTAAAGCCAGCCTACATACTGACGCTTAAGCCAGCCTACACACTGACGCTTAAGCCAGCCTACACACAGAGGCTTAAGCCAGCCTACACACTGACGCTTAAGCTAGCCTACACACTGACGCTTAAGCCACCCTACACACTGACGCTTAAGCCAGCCTACACACTGGCGCTTAAGCCAGCCTACACACTGGCGCTTAAGCCAGCCTACACACTGACGCTTAAGCCAGCCTACACACTGATGCTTAAGCCACCCTACATACTGACGCTTAAGCTAGCCTACACACTGACACTTAAGCCAGCCTACACACTGACGCTTAAGCTAGCCTACACACTGATGCTTAAGCCAACCTACATACTGACGCTTAAGCCAGCCTACACACTGACGCTTAAGCCAGCCTACACACTGACGCTTAAGCTAGCCTACACACTGACGCTTAAGCCAGCCTACAAACTGGCGCTTAAGCCACCCTACACACACCACTGACGCTTAAGCCAGCCTACACACTGACGCTTAAGCCTGCCTACACACTGACGCTTAAGCCAGCCTACACACTGACGCTTAAGCCAGCCTACACACTGGCGCTTAAGCCAGCCTACACACTGATGCTTAAGCCAGCCTACACAGACGCTTAAGCCAGCCTACACACTGGCGCTTAAGCCAGCCTACACACTGACGCTTAAGCCACCCTACACACTGATGCTTAAGCCAGCTTACCCACTGACGCTTTAGCCAGCCTACACACAGACGCTTAAGCCAGCCTACACACTGACGCTTAAGCTAGCCTACACACTGACGCTTAAGCCACCCTACATACTGATGCTTAAGCCACCCTACATACTGACGCTTAAGCCAGCCTACACACTGACGCTTAAGGCCACCCTACACACACCACTGACGCTTAAGCCAGCCTACACACTGACGCTAAAGTCAGCCTACACACTGATGTTTAAGCCACCCTACACACACCACTGACGCTTAAGCCACCCTACACACTGACGCTTAAGCCAGCCTACACACTGACGCTTAAGCCACCCTACATACTGACGCTAAAGCTACCCTACACACTGACGCTAAACCCACCCTACACACTGACGCTAAAGCTACCCTACACACTGACACTCAAGTCAGCCTACACACACACTGACGCTTAAGCCCACCCTACACACTGACACTTAAGCCACCCTACATACTGACGCTTAAGCCACCCTACATACTGACGCTTAAGCCACCCTACACACTGACACTTAAGCCACCCTGCACACACACCCTCCCTCGTACACAGTCACCTACCTTCTCAACCAACTCATCCACAACTGCACTGCAACGACCACAGCCTATATTTAACTTCCACTAGTGACTACAACACCTCATCAGGATTACAGGCTAGAGTAGGTCCCCAGCAACCTTTGCTGGTAAAATGTGGAGGAAATTTAATTCATCATCCAAAATTGGCTTTCACAGTTGATGAAGCTTGGGTCAAGCATTATCTCCAAGGTAATAATCAGGGTTCCCCCTAGACTCCAATATCTGAGAGTCACCTTGACTCAGCCTATGAATTTTTGGGAGTCAAAAATATTTTTTGAGAGTCAGATGTTTTATTGTATGATTAATGAAATTTAAAGTGTTCACTGTTAATGTTACATTTAAAGTTAAGTATCTTCTAAATATTATATGTCTTTAGTTTAAGTTAACAAGTGCTAATTAATGTTCTCAGCTGATTGTACTACAGAGAAATAAAGGATATATGTGTCATAGCGACTGATTTATGACTACCATTGTCTGCAGTACATTTGACTCCAAGGGCAAACTACCCTGTAGCCATGTCTCCATAACTTAATTGTCATTACGTTTTAGGCGCTAATCCCCGTTGTTAATCCTCACCAACATTTCATTGTATATTGACTGTCAGTCAGCCTGGACTACCATATCACTTCCCTTTAACTTCTGCTTTTTATAGTATGGCATTTATTGCCCTAATTGATCATCCCCTGAACTGTCGGTTAATCACGCCCATATGTCATTCCAAAGCTGGTAAACAACAACATAGATATTTTGAAATTGCGTCAGTCATGACGCAGTCATTTTTTCTGGACGTATTTTTCCTTAATTGAGAGTCATATACGCAAGAATCCTGCGTCAGGGGAAACCCTGGTAATATCACTACAATTAAATTGCAACACTTTGCTTTGCAGACCATAGTGATGTCATTGGTTACCAAGATGTCATCAAATGACATCACTTATCTTACCCGTGAAGATCCGGGGTAGAATAGGTCTTCAGCAATCAATGCTTGCCACAAAAGGCGACTATGCTTGTCGTAAGAGGCGACTAACAGGCTTTAGGTGGTCATGCTCGCTGACTTGGTTGACACATGTCATCGTATCCCAATTGCATAGATGGATGCTCATGATGTCAATCACTGGATAGTCTGGTCCAGACTTGATTTTTTACAGACTGCCGTCTAATAGCAGGAACATTGTTAAGTGACATAAAACATGAACAAACAAACAAGCACCCTAATACACCACTACAACCCCCAGCTACTGCCACGCGAATCAATCCTCAACCCACACACACCCTCTCACACCTACTACCACCACCCCCATCCCTCATCCCCATCCTTCATCTGTTACTTGACCACCCGCAATGCTCTACCCATGTCCTGTATCACCCGCAATGCTCTACCCATGTCCTGTATCCCCATCTGGACTACCCACAATGCTCTACCCGTCCTGTATCCCCATCTGGACTACCCACAATGCTCTACCCATGTCCTGTATCCCCATCTGGACTACCCGCAATGCTCTACCCATGTCCTGTATCCCCATCTGGACTACCCGCAATGCTCGCCCCATGTCCTGTATCCCCATCTGGACTACCCGCAATGCTCTACCCATGTCCTGTATCACCCGCAATGCTCTCCCCATGTCCTGTATCCCCATCTGGACTACCCACAATGCTCTACCCATGTCCTGTATCCCCATCTGGACTACCCACAATGCTCTACCCCTGTCCTGTATCCCCATCTGGACTACCCGCAATGCTCTACCCATGTCCTGTATCCCCATCTGGACCACCCGCAATGCTCTACTCATGTCCTGTATCACCATCTGGACCACCCGCAATGCTCTACCCATGTCCTGTATCCCCATCTGGACTACCCGCAATGCTCTACCCATGTCCTGTATCACCCGCAATGCTCTCCCCATGTCCTGTATCCCCATCTGGACTACCCACAATGCTCTACCCATGTCCTGTATCCCCATCTGGACCACCCGCAATGCTCTACCCATGTCCTGTATCCCCATCTGGACTACCCGCAATGCTCTACCCATGTCCTGTATCCCAATCTGGACTACCCGCAATGCTCGCCCCATGTCCTGTATCCCCATCTGGACTACCCGCAATGCTCTACCCATGTCCTGTATCACCCGCAATGCTCTCCCCATGTCCTGTATCCCCATCTGGACTACCCACAATGCTCTACCCATGTCCTGTATCCCCATCTGGACCACCCGCAATGCTCTACCCATGTCCTGTATCACCATCTGGACCACCCGCAATGCTCTACCCATGTCCTGTATCCCCATCTGGACTACCCGCAATGCTCTACCCATGTCCTGTATCACCCGCAATGCTCTCCCCATGTCCTGTATCCCCATCTGGACTACCCACAATGCTCTACCCATGTCCTGTATCCCCATCTGGACCACCCGCAATGCTCTACCCATGTCCTGTATCCCCATCTGGACTACCCGCAATGCTCTACCCATGTCCTGTATCCCCATCTGGACTACCCGCAATGCTCGCCCCATGTCCTGTATCCCCATCTGGACTACCCGCAATGCTCTACCCATGTCCTGTATCACCCGCAATGCTATACCCATGTCCTGTATCCCCATCTGGACTACCCGCAATGCTCTACCCATGTCCTGTATCCCCATCTGGACCACCCGCAATGCTCTACTCATGTCCTGTATCACCATCTGGACCACCCGCAATGCTCTACCCATGTCCTGTATCCCCATCTGGACTACCCGCAATGCTCTACCCATGTCCTGTATCACCCGCAATGCTCCCCCCATGTCCTGTATCCCCATCTGGACTACCCACAATGTTCTACCCATGTCCTGTATCCCAGTCTGGACCACCCGCAATGCTATACCCATGACCTGTATCCCCATCTGGACTACCCACAATGTTCTACCCATGTCCTGTATCCCAGTCTGGACCACCCGCAATGCTATACCCATGACCTGTATCCCCATCTGGACTACCCACAATGTTCTACCCATGTCCTGTATCCCAGTCTGGACCACCCGCAATGCTATACCCATGACCTGTATCCCCATCTGGACTACCTGCAATGCTCTACCCATGTCCTGTATCCCCATCTGGACCACCCGCAATGCTCTACCCATGTCCTGTATCCCCATCTGGACTACCCGCAATGCTCTACCCATGTCCTGTATCCCCATCTGGACCACCCGCAATGCTCTACCCATGTCCTGTATCCCCATCTGGACTACCCGCAATGCTCTACCCATGTCCTGTATCCCCATCTGGACTACCCGACAACACAGTAGCACGAAACAAGATAGACTTGCACAAGTCTCTAAGGCAATAATTATTTGTTTAAATCATACTTTGTAGATTATATAAATAACAAGTTGTGCCTATAAAAGACTGCACTGTCCGCTTATCTAGACTTGCCTATTATAAGGATAGAGTTACTATACCCCCATGGACGTATTATTCAGTACAGACATGGAGCAAGGATAACTATAGGACTACATTAGCAGGAATCTATATGTCTCCATCTAGTCACTGACACAACCCAATACTCCATCCAGTGTTAGTGACCCCAGATAAACAACGCAGATACATCAGGCTCATCTGGGACCTCTCATATTCACCATGTGTACACCATATAGATCTGTGTTGCCAACGGTGATGTCAGCCCAGATGCACTGGTTCCAAAAATACTTCTGGTCTGAAGGTTGCCACATTAACCTCATACCACAAGCCCTTACATGAGGATTGCAGAAATGTTTACAGTGTACAGCAACACTATTGTGGCAGGTGTGCTGTTGCAGTGTGCAACAGTCTTACATCAAGTGTGCATACAGCTGTGTGACTTGGCAATAAACCATGTGCCTTGTCCCAGCACTACGTGAGACAAAAATAAACAAATACCGTATTCGACGTAATAAACACCCAGGGCGCTCTCAAATAAGAAATAGTGGGCTCTTATTAGAATATTATTTTGGTGAAAAAAAAAACGTTGAAAGATAGTAAAGATTGTAAATTTTGTGGTTTATGCTGACACAATGAAATGTTTATATAAGACAGAAATATTTTTCCAGAATCAAATTGCCCATAACTAAGGGTGCACATAACACACGAGTGCGTATTATACACTATTAAATAAGTCTTGTGTACATTGATCAATCAGAAGGGGTGCTAATTGGGATCGTTCACTAGCCAATATATTAGCAAATAATCACAGTGGGCGCTTATTTGAGCAGGACGCTTATTACGTCGAATACGGTACTTGTGTTACAGGTGACATACACATACCAATATGGGGGAGAATTAGTATAATCAAATCTATGTTTGTATGAGTTTTCTTGATAGCCAATTGCCTGATTAAGATGTGACAAAAACATTTGTGTTAACCACTGAAATTAAGCGACAATCGGCTTGACGAGATACTAGTATTTTATTTTGGAGCCTGAAAGGTAAGTCAGACTGACCTGGACTCTGTGTCAACTTGTCATTTCTCAGTCCCTCTATCCAGCATCTCCCCTCCACCATACCTGACATTCTTTGCCATTCCCTGCCCAGAATTAGAAATGTTTCAATAACTGCCTGACCCTTTGGCTAACAACTGGAGACTGCAGAGTGCATCGATACTCTACCATCAACCTGTCAGTAAGTGAAACATAAACACACCGGTTATGGTGGTCATCAAACCCCTTCTACAACCACCTCACAACCCTTTTGTTGATAAACACAAATCTCACCTCTCCAAACTGGCACTGTGTAGAATGTACACAGTACAGGTTGCAAAAGTGGCACTGCCACCCCCACCCCATACCTATGTTTATAATCAGGCTGTCTGCAGCCCTGGGAATACAGTAGTGTAGAATGTCTGTGCCACCTCCCCTCTTTTATATATAATCAAGGTGTCTGCAATCCTGGGAATAACACTGACCCCACCCCACCCCACCTCTCTTTTATGTAAAATCAGGCTGTCTGCAGCCCTGGGAATAACCAGTGTAGAATGTACACAGTACAGGTATATATAGACCCGGGCACTGATACCGACCCCACCCCACCCCACCCCACCCCTCTTTTATGTAAAATCAGGCTGTCTGCAGCCCTGGGAATAACCAGTGTAGAATGTACACAGTACAGGTATATATAGACCCGGGCACTGACACCACACCCACCCCACCCCACCCAACCCCTCTTTTATGTAAAATCAGGCTGTCTGCAGCCCTGGGAATAACCAGTGTAGAATGTACACAGTACAGGTATATATAGACCCGGGCACTGACACCACCACCACCCCACCCCACCTCTCTTTTATGTAAAATCAGGCTGTCTGCAGCCCTGGGAATAACCAGTGTAGAATGTACACAGTACAGGTATATATAGACCCGGGCACTGACACTACCCCCACCCCACCCCACCTCTCTTTTATGTAAAATCAGGCTGTCTGCAGCCCTGGGAATAACCAGTGTAGAATGTACACAGTACAGGTATATATAGACCCGGGCACTGACACCACCCCCACCCCCACCCCACCCCACCCCTCTTTTATGTAAAATCAGGCTGTCTGCAGCCCTGGGAATAACCAGTGTAGAATGTACACAGTACAGGTATATATAGACCCGGGCACTGACACCACCACCACCCCACCCCACCTCTCTTTTATGTAAAATCAGGCTGTCTGCAGCCCTGGGAATAACCAGTGTAGAATGTACACAGCACAGGTATATATATATAGACCCTTGCACATGTAGTGTACTTTATACTCCAGGAACCTCCAGCCCTAATGAGGTCAGGTATGTTTACTAGCGTACACCACAACAACTGGAGACTTCAACCATCAAGCGTCTGTATCATAAATCAGGAGAAAACACTCACCATGTTTCCACACACTCACCATGTTTCCACACACTCACCATGAACGAATACCCTGGTTCAATGTCACCAACATGATAAAAGCAAATTGCATGTCTTGTTACCGAATCCTGAGCTCCATGCATACACCAGTTCTGCAGACATTATCAATATCCATCTTGATACTGTGTGTAGCCTTATCTGTTAACGTGACGATCAACTGTTGCCTCATTACAGCTTTGACAAATCTGGGCAATTAAAAAGTGTCAAACCGAAGACAATGACAATGAGCATGACAATGACAATCGGCTGGTGATAGAAACAAGAAGCGCCTATATTCCAAAACTGCCTCTCTCACGTTTTAGAAAGCTGGGGTAAGAATGTCAGCTGACAAAACGACATGCAGTCTGTGCTGACGAACCTGATAACCACCTGCTCACACTGTGGGACCGACTTATCTTCAACATGACGCCACACGTCAAATGTGAGTCTCTGAGCCCTGAACTAAGGAGTGTTTGTTTCTTTGTTTGTTTGTTGTTTTGTCAATATTCCAGCTATAAGACGGCAGTCTGTGAATAATCGAGTCTGGGCCAGACAATCCAGTGACTGACATTATGAGCATCGATCCATGCAATAGGGATCGATGACATGCATCAACCAAGTCAGCGAGCCTGACCACTCTATCCCGTTAGTCGCCTCTTACAACAAGCATAGTCGCCTTTTACAGCAAGCATGGGTTGCTGAAGACCTATTCTATCCCGGAATCTTCACGGGTCAGCAGGTATTATGAATGGCTAGTTCTTGGACAAAGACGCCATGATGATGAATTAAATCAGGGTTTTACGTGACACACAAATCTGCCTCCAGTACACAAAAGAGTTAAAATTAAAAAGAATATAGTGCACCCTGAGGGACACACAATAATATTCATTGTGCCCACAGCGCATCAAGAGTGGTAATGGTGTCGTTCATTTCATCCATCAATAATGACCACTGTCCACATGATCATTGATTCATTCCCGGCTCTAAAAGTAATTATCAAAACATACAGTACACTACACCATTTCATGACTGTACAGGACCATCATATTGCCTGTAAGGACCGTTCAAATGAATTACTGGGTCTCCTGGACCCCTACTTTTGTAGACCCATGAAGATCCAGGGTAGAATAAGTCTTCAGCAACCCATGCTTGCCATAAAAGGCGACTATGCTTGTCGTAAAAGGCGACTAACGGGATCGGGGGGTCAGGCTCGCTGACTTGATTGATGCATGTCATCGATCCCAATTGAGTGGATTGATGCTCATGATATCAATCACTGGATTGTCTGGTCCAGACTCGATTATTTACAGACCGCCGTCATATAGCTGGAATATTGCTGAGACTCGCCGTTAAACAACAAACCAACCAAACCAACCTACTTTTGTAAGTCAAGGCAAACCCAGTGTTAGAAATTGGCACTTAGTCCTATAGTCCTTGCCTAACTGCCCAATGGTAAAGGTATCATAAGGACTAGTAGAAATTTGCCCTTTTTAAGGGTTTTGCTATATGTTACCATTATAAGGACTAGTTTCTAACCCTGAAACCCTGCTAAATGCAACTCGTTCACAGCTCGGTTTGGAACAGTGGAACTCTGAGCAGTTAACTGCCATGTACCTTGAGACTTGACACAATCCATGTTCAGGAATACAACTTGAAAAATCTCACCTCCTTAAAGCAATTTCCTTGACAAGACTGCAGCCATAAATCACCTAGTGACGGCCTGACCGCATTGAAAATTGACCAAAATGGAGTACGACATCAAGTGACAACTAATCCGTTAAAAAGGATAATTGAATAACAGCAATGTCACAGCACAATGAAGTTAGTTAGAAAGGTCAAGTGATTATTTTGATTCTGGAGGATGTGAAACATTGCCCCTCCAGCTGAGCAAGGCTACTGTATCTCGCATCTCCACAAGCCCCAACTAGATGTCGGGGAATATTGATTCCAGTCTAATGCCTCCATTGATAAAAGTGGATGGGACACTTTCCTTGCAAAACTCACATGATCAATAGTAATTTATAAACCTCAAACTTTATCAAATTAGTTCATTGAAAGCTGACCAGTTGGAGCAGAACCTGATCGTAATGTTCAGAATTAACTGCACTGACATCTTGCATGAGAAGAACGAAATATTTTCAAGGCAGTAATCACATAAATTCAAAGAAATGACAAACAAAACTACTTATTTCCCATTTTTAATCTAATCCTATTATCTTCTTATTTTATGTATAAACCTAACTGTCACTAGGGCTGAAAAGATTACACTATCAGGCGAATACGATTCATATCATGGATTTAGGGTAACGAATACGAATATTCATTCACGAATACAATAACAAGTCAGCATTTGATGTATTATTTATGATATTCAGTGAAACAATAACAAAATAAATTTTGTTTGTTAATTATCAATTTATTATACAGTTATATACTGCACTTATCCAAGTACTAGTATCTGCTCAAATGTGACAATCACCAGAGATGAAAAATATTGTCAAATTAAATATAAAAGAGTCTTGTCTTTGAAGAAATCTATGCATTTAATATCAGTGATCTTAGGATTGTATCATTACCCCCCCCCCCCCCCCCCCCACCCCCCCAAACCCAACCCAACCCCCCACCCCCCCTCTTAATATAACATTTTGTCATGCCTCTCAAAAATACATGTAACATAACAAATGTCACTAAACAGACACAGTGTTCCAGAGAAGATGAATTTCTCTGTCTTTTTCAAATTTGAAATTTCTAGGAACACATAATGCCATTTAGGAAGTGGTCAAATGTAACAAATGGTATATTTGAGATAACACTTTCTTAGTAAAGTACAGATTCTACTTTTTGGGTTGAGTCCCAGTACAGGATTCGAACCCACACTGCCAAAGTGAGGCACCTAATCCCAGCACACAAAGTCAGCGATCTAACCAAAAAGGTACCGTATTTGACGTAATAAGCACCCTGAGCACTCTCAAAATTAGAAATAGGGGCCTCTTATTAGAATATTATTTTGGTGGAAGAAACATAGTTGAAAGATAAATTTCATGGTTTATGCTGACAGCCTGAAATGTTTATATACGAAAGATATATTATTCAAGAATTGAATTGCCCATAATTAAAGGTGCATATAACACGGTGCGTATTATACGCGAATAAATAAGTCTTGTGTACATTGATCAATTGGAACGGGTGCTAATTGGGATTGTTCACTAGCCAATATGCTAGCAATTATCGCCGTAGGCGCTTATTAGAGCGGGGTGCTTATTACGTCGAATACGGTACTTGAATTTCTACAATACATAAGCAGAACTCACTGACATGGAATACAAGAACTTGTGTTTCCGGTCAATGAACATCTTCTCAATTGCAAGTCTGATTGATAACAATGGTAACTGGTCGTTCAGTAAACTCTATAAAAAAAATATCTATCTGAAAATTTCATTTTTTTCTCCATACCTACATTCAACAATATTTTCTTAAGCAGAATTAAGTTACCTTAAAAAAATGCTTTTGGTTTTGTTTCCCTAATGTTTGGTAATGTATTATCAACAAAGATTGATCAAAGGAGATTTATCCCTCTGTGATTTTCCCAACTGATGTTTCCCATGTTTCTAGAACAGAACAAGCAACAAGCAACCACTGACAAGACTGCCCGCCCACAACACCTACATACCTTGCTGTGGGAGTCCCAGTTACAGACACTGCTCTCTGTACAACTGCTTACATGTAGAAAACAGGATACTACTGGTCTCACAACAGGAGCCAGAACACGGAAGCTCAGAGCAGTATCCGGGAGATACCACAAGTAGCTGAGATTAACAGGCAGTGATAAAGGTAAACACTCCTTGCTGCAGGAAATGGTGGGGTGAGAGTATACATGTAGACTTGATACAGGTCTCCTATCATGTTGCAGATTAACACACAGAGAAACAGCATTTGTAGACTTGACACAGGTTTCCTATCTTGTGTTACAGATTAACACAGACATCATTGGTAGACTTGATACCGGAATATTATCAGGGGACTAATATGTAGACTTGATACAGGTCTCCTATCATGTTGCAGATTAACACACAGAGAAACATCATTTGTAGACTTGATACAGGAATAGTATCAGGGGACTAATATGTAGACTTGATACAGGTTTCCTATCTTGTGTTACAGATTAACACAGACATAATTGGTAGACATGATACCGGAATATTATCAGGGGACTAATATGTAGACTTGATACAGGTCTCCTATCATGTTACAGATTAACACCCAGAGAAACAGCATTGGCAGACTTGATACAGGTCTCCTATCATGTTACAGATTAACACAGACATCATTGGTAGACTTGCTACCGGAAAATTATCAGGGGACTAATATGTAGACTTGATACAGGTCTCCTATCATGTTACAGATTAACACAGACATCACTGGTAGACTTGATACCGGAATATTATCAGGGGACTAATATGTAGACTTGATACAGGTCTCCTATCATGTTGCAGATTAACACACAGAGAAACATCGTTTGTAGAATTGATACAGGAATAGTATCAGGGGAATAATATGTAGACTTGATACAGGTCTGACATCAAGTGTTACAGCCAGATTTACAGAAAATCTCACACAATACAGTGATTATAACATGATTATGATGACCTAACGCAGATCGCCTATCATTTGTCACATATTAGCAGTTTCAAGAGACAGATCAATGATCATAATGATACTCAATGTAGACTTGATACAGGTTTTACTATCAACACAGGAAGAAACAGTTTTGGGGGAGTCACATGTATACAGACTTGGTACAGGTCTCCTGTGCTACAAAGATTTCACAGATCACCTTATAACCATACACATCAAATATCATGATTGTCGAGTAATGTTAGATTTTTCTCCCTGTTATGGCAAACTTCAATCCTACATTTAGAAGGTGGATATAGAGACTTGTCGAGCACCATCAGCGATCTTACTTCAGTGGTGCCAGCTACATACGTTAGGATCTGTTGTCACCCATGTGAGCCTCAGTTTTGGGGGAGTCACATGTATACAGACTTGGTACAGGTCTCCTGTGCTACAAAGATTTCACAGATCACCTTATAACCATACACATCAAATATCATGATTGTCGAGTAATGTTAGATTTTTCTCCCTGTTATG